TATCCATAGTTTTTAATGCACTTAGCAATACAAGAGTGAATAAAGACAAACTTCTCAATGGAATGAATGGATGGTCTTGTGAGATAGTGAATTCTTGTCAATAGAGGTAAAGTAAAATAAAGTGAAAGCTAGATGTACACTTTGGAAGGGGGTAAAAGGATTCTTACTTTGGATAGAAAGTAATCTTTAACAACCATTATGATCCCTTCCAGTTGTAAAATTCTATTCTTATTAATTTATGGAAGATAAGGTTGCTATCTATTTTAGTAATAGGACACATTTGTGAGTGTTAACATTTTTATTTTACATAGCCTTGTTATCGTATTTGAGCAGGTTTCTTCACTGGCCGTAACCTAATACACGGTTTTGTTTAAAGTTAGGTAACAAATCAAGCAAGTAGAAGTTTTATAGGACCATTTATACAAAATAATCTTTTTAAGAATGAAATACAGCTTCATTGTTAAAACACATTATGGAACCAAAGGTACACATATCAGTGCTTTAATTACCCTACCTGTTGAAGAGATTTTTAACCAACAAAGATCTGATTGTTATTAACATGAATAGCATAGTAGAGATTTAGGCATTTCTCTCCAAAACAGTTTCTTCAAAATGCAAATTCTTACCTATATATAAGAAAACTATGAAATCCAAGATTACCTTTTGCTTTTGACTTTCTAGTACGTGAATCTGGGCCTCAGTCATATGTTCCTGATACAATTTCTGTAATCTCTCTAACTCCTGAGAAACAGTCTGCCAGAGTTCCACAGCCTGAGTTTTCTCCTATAAAACAAAACCATTTCATAACTTATTAAATTATTAGCAGACTATTAATTATGAAACACAAATGAATCATAATCTTTTACAGAATGAGTTCTTCAAAGTCACAAAACAAAAATATAACTATGTAAAGATGGTATTCTCATTGTTTTTGATGATATGAAGTTGTATTAATAATTTAGAGAATAAACCTAAAGATAAAAAGTTCATTATTTTGAAGCTGTCTTTTTACTCAGATTTAACTAAAACTAAAAGCCTTAACAGATACACAG